TTTCGATTACTGGGTTTAAATGCCTTATTTTGATAGGATTTCTTTTTTAAAGTACATAATTTGCATTTAAATTAGTTGAGAGAAACGATTAGAATACTGTAATACTTTGTTTCTAAACTGTTTTTATTTTGATATATATTTAGGAGAATTTTAAAAAAAATTTTGTCTTTGAATGCGTTAATGTAGGTATACATTTCTGATATTCTGAATGCTATGTGTTACTATATTATCATAAATCTTCATATTTAAATAAGTTATGTATTGCTGTTGTTGTATCATACCCTATTTGTCTGAGAATCAGATCAAGTCCGGAAGACTTAAGACGCTCCAAGAATTAAATTTTGGTTGGAGTAAATTTGATCTTTAAAGTAGCCAATGCACGAAAGGATATGCGAAGATGTGGTCTTTGATGCACCACGGACGAAAACATCATGGAGAAAACAACGCAAGGCAAAACCGTCGTGCTACAAAACATCGTGGGAGAAAATAAAGCAAAGAGAAAACATTGCAGTTCTAAATACGCCTTTTCTACTCCTCCTTTTACATTAACAGAAATATTTATCCTACAGTAAAAGGCAGCACAATTATACGGAGTTTTAAGATCCTTCGATTGACTCTCCAGGAACTGGCTTTCTGCTATAAACAAATTTCTGAAGAAATTTCCTTCTCCTCGAGGGTGACAAAGACTTCACTTTAATGAATCAATGTTTTATAATATGAAAATTTTCTAAGTTATTACAGTGAGATTTTTAAATTCCTTTGTGAAAGATTTCTTTCTTAATTTTTCTAAGCTGTTTAAATAAGACTGCAGAAATTAATTTCTTTTCATTGTCCATTTCTGAAAGCAATGCATTAAAGCAAAATTAGATGTGATTAGGATAGATAATTAAATTAGATGTAATTAGAGGGCTAGATGTAATTTTTGAATTTCTAAAAACAAAATAAAGTTGGAAAACAAAATAAGCCTTGTTTGCAGAAGTGAAATGCATTAATTTAAAATAAAATTATACTTTCGAATAAAGTTTATCGGTGTGGCTTAAATATACATTTCGATTTACAGCAATTTTCATTAAATTTTATTCTGCAATAGGTTAAATTCTCTTAAAATGCAGTTTGCAATTCAGTTTCTTTATAAAATGATGTAACTTGTACTTTTGGAGACAAATTAATATTGATTTACACAATTTTCTCACAAATGAGACTAACTTCTTTCATACATAAGTAACAATGAAATGAAATTCTCTTATTTTTATATTGTTATCATTTAAAAAATTTATGTATCTATTTGAAAAATTAATATGATAATTATATTCTCTTAATCTCTCAAGAAAGAAATACTTTTTCATAATCGGTTTTCATATTTTTCTTAATGCATAAAGTGAATACGAGCTAGTTTCCCTTAAAAGGTCCTCTACCAAGGCATCCCTTCTCTTAGGTAGGCAGCCCTTACGTGTTTTGCCATAGTCAAATAACCTAACCTTAACTAAGAAATATTTTTCTCTAATTAAATCTCTTAATAAGGAAATTTGGTTACATTAACAACACAGCTTAATTATATAAGATGTAAAAGCATGACATAATTTACGGGAAGAAAGATCTCATATACTAAATTTTAAAAATAATCTCGGAACTTTACATAAAGGATACATGTAGAAAGTTGAGTATTGTAAAGTAATATGCCATTTGTAAAATTATAATTATTAAATATCTTATTATATGTAACTAGAACTTGGTTATGGAAGTATGGCATCATATGTAATGTGAAGCTAAGTACCACTCATGGACATAAGTAATTATTTTGTGAAATTAATGTTGAAAAATAGCAGAGCACGATGAAAGTACTGCAATAAAATGCATAAAATAAGTTCCGTCTTCATATTACCTATTAATATCAAAAACAACAAAAAAGAAGTGAATTATATCTACCAAATAAAACAGACTCCCTAAATTAAAATTCCTAAGCAGCGAGACAAAGAATTGAGATAAACTTTTGATGATGCACTTGTTTCCGCACACTTGATAATACTTAAAAAGTTAAACGATTGGCAGTACATTATTAATTTTTGTTCATAGCTTTTAAATTATGCTTTTATTACTTTATATTAATTATTACTGTTCACATTCACATCAATATACAATAAACAATGCTTACCTGAAAATTTAGCTGTGACAATATGTTCAGCTAGCAGAAGGGACAGGGCTAAAAAAAAGTCACTTAATCCTCGAGACGAAAAAACGCTATACTTTTTCTCTTTGGTCAGCCACTCTTGAAAGCACTCGGTATGGTAGAATGTGCATGCATTCATTAAAAAATATAGTTCCATGATTTCTTAGTATCACACAAAGTAAAAACGTGCTCTAAACTATCAGTATTTTTAATTAAAAAAAATAACTAAAATCGCTATCTGTTAGCGTAAAAAAATAATTTATTCATAGAAAGGTTTTCTGAAACATTTAACAATGAGTTGGGAGAGCAAGGTCCCATTACAGAAGAATTACGTGAGCATGGTCAGGGTGGGAGAGACTGAGAAATTTCTTGATCACATTAAACATTTGCTGTGACATGTATGTGACATCCGTGCGATATTCAATCCACGTCAGGATGTGACATTCTACTGTGGTCACAAATGCAATGTAAAGACGATGTAACATTGAGATGTCACTGCAATGTTATAGCAACTAAGTGTGCTATATGGGACAATATACACTAGAAGTAAAAACTAGCTTGAGAATGCAAGAAAATTAAAGTTAGGCTCTCAAGCTAACACTAAGTTAATTTTTCACTAGAACTGGCACCTCAAGGCTGAGAATCGAATGTAGGGTATATTCAGAAATATAGGTCTTGTATGTTTAGTTCCTACAAGTAGGATGCAGATTAGCTGGCAGTGTTGCACATGTCATATGAGAACACACGCTCTCATATCAGTAAACCTTGCTGGAGAGCAGAGCGGAGTTTGTTTTAAAATTTTGGAAAGAATGTAATGAGTAATAGTTTCTTCAAATAATACTAAAATATATCTAATTGTATTAAACTTCTTGAAAACTAAAATGAATATGTTAAACGTATGGAACTCGTTCTAAACTATTCTCCTTCCAGATACCTAGAAGGTGGTTATGGAAGTGACTACAATATTCCATCTGTAAAAATCAAGAAAATTACAATCTAAAATTTGTGAAGGTTGAATTAGGGTTAGGTTTAGAATTTAAATACCTTATCCAGGCTAGTTATCGATGGTTTAAGCCTTGTTATATGATAGTTAAGTTTTGCAAGGGAAGATGTAGGATTCTCCTTGGTTTCATTAACTAGTTATTTTAATTTTAGTATCTTTTCTAAATTCTCTTATTTTCCCTCGCATTTCTCCATTAAGATAAAAATTAACTAGGAGAATGACAATATTTAAATGGTTGAAACGAAATGGTTAGACAGTTCACTGTTGAAGAGCAGGTTTGCTATTTTGTCTTTTGGGTATTAATCTTTGTAGCAGCTATGCATTCTAGCCGTCTAGCTAGTATTTTGCCGATGTAGGTTTCTGAGTCAGCCTGTTAGATTAAATTAAATTGTGGGAGCCCTGGCGACCTTCCTGCGTACCATGAACATTATATTAAAACTTGTAATTGAAAAAATCCACCTTTATTTTCCTTGACGACATAACAGTAACTAGTGAAAATATCAACGGGCATATTAAATATTTAAACAAAGTTTTCATATTTCCTGCTTCAAAGTAACCCCTCTCAACAGTCTGACCTTTAAAAAAAATTATTGTTCCATTGGATAATGACCCTTCCTAAACCCATACTCCAATACCCATACCCCCAGAAATACGTTATTTACATTAAGGTGATGTGACATTCTACTCAAAATTAGCTTCTCCACTTACACGGAATACTGGTTAATGCAACGTGTCTAAAACTATTAGTATAATTCATCTGCTTGTCTTGTTTTATGATGGGAATGATAAGAGCAATCCATTCTCTTGGAAGTTTACCAAATTTCCGAGAAATCCAGTTATTAAGATAAGTTTTGTTTTGCCAGTTTGACTCAAACTAGCTAGCATATGTCCATCAATTTCATCCAGCCTAGGCAATTTACTGAAAATCCTCTAAAAATAATAGCCAGTTCTTTATAACAAAAATCCTTATTAAAAAAGATACCAAGAATAAAATTCCTAATTCATCTTGCAATTAACAGCAAGGTTAAATGGATTACGGACAGCTTCGCTATCTCGGTAGCTGGACCACTCTCGTTTTGATAATGTATTCCCAATTTATTGGCGCTTTTGCTTTCACTACAGAAAGTACTGTAAGGGAATAAAGGAATTAGTCAATTAACTGTAAAGCAGGGCTTGTTCAGTATTACTTGGAAGTTTCCAAAGCTTAAAATTGGAAGTTCGAAAATCAAGTTTTTCACACACGTTAACCCAACTACTTGGCATAGGAAAAGTAAAATTTTTGCATTAAATGCATTGAGTGCAGTTTTCAGATAAGAAGATGGAGAGGCTAATATATCACCTTGAAGAACATTTGTTTGCTCAAAGAGAGGAGAAAGAAACTGTGAATAATGATTAAAACTGGGTTTGAACTGATTCTGTTAATCTGTAAAAATTATGGCCTTAGAAGTTGCTTTGAGGATTTAGCTTTAAAATACTGTCATTTATTTTTAATATCATGCATTGATAAATCTTGATGTAAAACGATGTCCAATAAGCTTTTATTTCAATGGTAATTTGTTTTATTGAAATTTCAGTAATTTTCACTGTTGTTTAATGTTTTATAGAATGTTTCAGTACTTAATCCTCCCCCCCCTCCATGTAGGTGATTACTCCCAATAGACTCCAGTATACCTCCCAGGCCCAATTGGTATAAATGTCTCAGCAGTAAAACGTAACATCTTAAGCCTTCCGGTTGTTATAAAAGCAGTGTGTTGTGGGCCCATTATTCAGAAAACAAAAAGCACCACAGTTCAGTAACAACTTATATAACAAAAGAAAAATTAAACTTCATAATTGTACCAGAAATTTTATTTGCTTATACAAATTATGGATCTACAACAAAATACATATTACAAAGTTCACAAGACATAATTCTTACTATACATCTACATGAATTATTTGCTGTATTAAAATCCAGTTCAAATAGCTCCATTTAAAATGTATAAAAATAAGTAACACATATGTAAAAAAATTTGTACATTCAAATATACAATAGAAAGGCTTTGAGCAAGAGCACTTCAACTGGATGTATTAAGTAACAAGCAACTTCAAAAATAAGAATACACACAACACACACAACACAACAACTAGTTCAAGCACAAAATGTCATAAGCAAGGCACAGCTGATACATATTTAATGTGTATTTAAAATAATGCATTTCCCCCCATTAATATAAAAAAGATTCAAGAAATAAGATAGTCTTTAGAAAGATTACTTTAATCAGAAAAACAACTGTTTCCTACATACAGTTTTAATATAAGTACTAAATATTTTTTTAATTTAACACAGTAATTTTTTAAATAACTAATAACTCTTAGCAACCAAAAAACAAAACATTTGGAACTAAGTTGAAAATTAAAATAGATCTTATCAAAATTAACAATGTATGAATACACACAACACAACACAACATATTATATACATAAATTAACACTGAATGCAATGATCTATGAAAGTCATGTTCTTATATAAAAGCTGTGATTCTAGGCAATGCCTGATTTTGATAACATAAAAAAAAAAAAAAAAAAAAAAAAAAAAAAAGGCAATGATAACACAAGATAACTGCATCATTTCAGTGTGGCTTAAAACATTCAAAACAGTTCTTGCTAATAATTCTTCTTTATATATACAATACCACACAAAACACCTGTTACAGCTAAGGCTACTGTTGCAATTTTTATGATAACATCATATGACTTCTCAAACAGCCTCTCCTAAAAATAACAGATATTACATAAGCCTTAAATATGCACATTCATAATTTCATTCTCAATGTTTAATTATGCAAATTATTGAATATACTTAGGATGATTACATATCTATAATTTTATGCACATGGTTATTCAGTTACATCAGTAACTTTATCTCAGACATCTTTAAAAAATCTGGTATAGCTTACAGAAGTAAATGAAAACATGAAATGCATATCAAATCAAAATGGTGTAATTATTATGAATATTTATAAAATTATTTAATTTACATGAAATTTTAGCAATATTGCAGACTTCAACGGAACTAACTGAAAACAAATCTTACATATAAATTCCATTATTTCATTCAACTGAGAGTAATTTGTTCAAATGCAGCAAAGAACACAACGGCTATCTGCTTAAAGGGATATTTTTGTAAAGGACTTCCTAATGCAGGCCTTGTATAGATAAGAAAAATGGGGGGGGGAAGCCATGCCTGCATAAGAATGTTGAACTACCAGAGTTCAAGAGTCTCAACCATTTGGCTACTCATTTGACAGAACAGTCCTTTGTATAAATTGCCTAATTATCTGTTGGAGCAATCAATGCATAGCTTGCAATTTAAATTCACAACATTCAGCAAAAATTTCGACTAAAACTGTTTCTTACATCATTAAATACACATGACAGATCTATAATCCTGCATATAAGTAGCAATAAATAGAAATATATAAACAAAAAAAGGGAATAAAATTATCATTTTCAAAAAAAAAAAAAAAAAAAAAAAAAAAAAAATGCCTACTCACCCAACCACCATGTTCATAAACCCAACTACATATTCTGTCTACTACAAACTGACGAGACCATGTAAAAAGTTGCCAACCCAAATTCATCATGTTTTGTCTTAAACATCTTCTTAAAATATCACAACAAAAGAAAAATACTGCAACTAGGCGAGTTCTGTCTATACCATTTCTGAACACTTCCTCCAAAAATTGAAAAAACAATTCCTGGCTTAGAGTATTTATGTCGACCTGCAAATACCATTTAATTAGAACAGAAATGCATTATAATTTGAATTTAATACAAAGAACATGCACTCAGAAAAAATAAAATATAAATACTACATTCTACTCTACTTAATATGACTTACAGAAATATGCAATGAGATATACTGCAAGCCAAGAAGGATACATTTACAGTTGTATATACCATGGACTATCAAATGATGTATGCAGTATCATGCAAAATGGTGATCACTTGAAAGTGTCAGAGGTTTTATTTCATTGCATTCAAATTTAATTTCCCCAAACTTCAAATATTTGAAAAACTTTGTAAAATAATGAATAAATAACTAAAAAATACATTGATATGCAATGTCTATAGGAAAACAGATGACAAATTTTATTACATATGTTAAAAAAAAAAAAAAAAAAAAAAAAACTCAATAGCAATTGAATTGATATTTTAGAGAAAAGAACAACTACTATAACAAAGATTGAAAATAAATATTCCTTTTTTTAATTTTCTTTTGTCAATAATAGAAATTTAAACACTTTAAAGATGTTAAATAAATAAATTATTAAATCTGACAGAACACTGAAAATTCATTTAAATGAAATAAGCCATGTTTTAAGAATAACATATGCCTTTATCTTTTTATAAACAATTATAATTCTTTACAAATACAAGATAACTTTTCCAAAAAATTCAACTTGGGATTTATTTATTTCTCTAGACTGGAGATTCAAATATGAATACATCACAATAAAGTGTAATTAATAAATAATGGAAATGCTAAATGAATGAAAGACTGATATTTTTAAAAATATTACTACACAGAAAGATTTCAATACTGAATTTACAATGTTTTAACTAGAGGGAGGAACTCAAAATTTAAGAACATTTTGCCTTTTCAGAATGCATTCACTTTCCTAATTTGATAAAGAGTATTCAGTTTTGTTTCTGAAATTTGATAATCCTTCATACTGAGATAATTTTCTATCGTTGTTAGGATATGATTACTTTTCTAACAATGTTACTGCTTCAGTTGTTATATTAAACTCAGTTTAAAATGTTTAAGAATAATTTTAAAAAATTACATAAATTAAAGTACCATAATAAGTTTCTATTTTTTTACAGAAACCAACACATAAGCAATTTATTCATTTTAACTTCCTCAAAAAAAATCTGAAGCAGTTCATATTTTAAAGTTCGTCCCCAAAAGGGTTTGGTAAAGTATTTTTTTACCCTCTCGCTTAGTTCACAGTCTGCTGTTGCACTCACTCCGCTAACCCATTCTTTTTGTCTTTTTATTATTAAGCATCACTTTCTTCACACTTATACAATATACAATTCAACAGCAAAATTACAAAAAATTTTCATAGCAGTACACATGTAGAAATCCTGATGCAGTGTTTAGTATTGGTATACAGCTTTCCATTTTTCCAATCTTCTCTCACTTCATCATATAAGTGTTCAATTTTCTTGATAAGATAGCTTGCAAACTTTTTTTGTCTTTTTATTAGTACCATTTTTTGTGTTAAATTTATTAACCAGATATCATGTTCTTTGCATTTACACTATAAAAAATTCAATTCAACAGGAAACTCACAAAAATTTAAAAACAGCTTGTCTTTAGAATTTTCGATATGCAGTGTCATGCAAGAAAATAAAAATATTTCATTCCGTACAGTACTGTTGCTGTTTAAATCACCAAGTTTATTAATAAAAAATTCATCAAAGTTTTACAAAATATGAAGTATAAAATTCGGGCTTTTAGTTGCACATGTGTGGGTGGAGGATTCCTTCCTTCCTTCCTCAATGGCCCCACAGCCAAGGGTGGGCCCTGGCCTTCTCAAGAAGGTTTTTCCAGGTCAATCTTCTCCCTGCTAGAGTTTTCCAGTATTTAGTTTTTAAGACCAGTAGGTCATTTTCAAGGCTGTCTAACCATCTTAAGATTTTGTCTGCCTTTTCTCAGTGTTGGTCTGGCGTTGAAGACTTTTTTTTTTTTTTTTGGTTGCACGGTCTTCACCCCATTCTGATTATGTGGCCTGCCCATTTTATTCTTTGGCATTTAATGAAATTAATGATATCAGGTTCATTATATGAGTCATTACATATTATATACACCATCTTTTTGAATTCCTCTGAAAATACTTCTTAAAACTTTTTTTTTCAAAAATGACCAACATGTCCTCATTCATGCATGTTTATTCCAAGTTTCACATGCATATGTCAAAATTGGTCTTAAAAGGCTTTTATACATAAAAAACTTCTTTTTTTCCCTTTGAATTGCACTTGATTTCATACATTTTCATATTCCATTGGAACATCTATTGGTTGCAGTAATTCTCTTTTTTATTTCTGTAGTAATATTGTTCCTGTAGTTAATTTCAGAGCCTAAATACATGAAGCGATCAACAGTTTCAAATTTATATTGCCCAATTTCTAAGTGAGTCTGTTTTAGTGCATGGCATATATTTTGTTTTATTTTCATTAATTCTCAGGTCTGTCCTGAGAGCCTCCTCCTCTAGAGATATAAAAACCTGTTTTAGTGCTGCTGGTGTTCTAGCAATAATGGTAATGTCATCAGAAAAATAGCAGTACCAGTTTATTAAAGATGTTTCCTCTGGTGATGATGTTTGAATCACTTACTACTTTTTTTAGTGCCAGATTGAAGAGAAGGAATGCCAACGCATCACCCTGTCGAATTCCATTATTAATTTCAATTGGCTTTAGTTCATTCAGTACTTTTACCATGATTTTAGTTTCATCTAGTGATTAGCTTGAATAATTTTTCAGGTATTTGAAACTTCCGGTGGAAACCTTCAGGTGGAGGATTACATTAAAATTTTTTTTTTTTTTTTTTTTTTTTTTTTTTTTACTAATGTAAAGAACATGCATACATATATGAGATCTATCATTACTTAATTTCTTTAAAAATTATACAGGGCATTCGTGACAACAATTTGAAAAATGATTCGCTATTTATAGTGGATGATGGGAAAATCCAATTTCTAGACTAATAGCGCTTTTGGGCTAAAAATGTAAATATCTCCATATTTACCTTTTCATCTGATGAAAAATAATAAAATTATATGAGATTTTTAAGCACATTTGCAGATAAAATATTAAAAGTTATAGAATTTGTCACTTATATGTTCCTCAAATGCTCAATGTAAAAGTAGCTAAGCCATTAATGATTTTTTAATGCTATTCTTTTCATATTCTAGTAAACAAAATAAATATCAAATCAAATTTCCTATTTATTAGTATAAAAATACCTAAATGTAGGTTAAAATGCGAAAGAAAAAAAAAAGTGCTTTGAAAATCTTGAATTTTTTTTTAATATGCATAGATTATTTCAATTATTTAGCCAAACTATTTTATAATTCCTCTTTAACAATAACCATATACAGGAAAATAAAAGATATGGTATCATCTCATTATTCACCCATCTTGACAAGAATCACTAGGCAAAGTACTATGTCGCTAAAGTAGGCAACCCGGAATTTAACAAAAATACATTTATCTAGCAACTCACTACTGGTTGCACGCTCATCACGGTAACCTGTAACACTATCATCTATCTCGGCAGTGATGACAGTAATTTGCATGATTTCAAATTTGAGGGTCATATTTCTATGTGATTAGTGCATGGAGGTTTTTTTTTTTTTTTTTTTTTCCTTAAACTGAATCATATGAGGGTTGCTGTTTATATTTCTGGTCTAATATTGAAAAAATAAATGTTATGATTGAAACTGGTTTTATTGTTTCCCAAAATATTTTCCATGAAGATCCAATACACTTTTGCATGCGTTTGAATCAATTTTCGAAGCATTTATCCCACTCTGATTGAGGTAACTTCCAAACATGCGTTTTGAATGCATCAACTGCTGCTTTGGGTGACACAAATCGCTGACCACGTAACTTATTTTTCATGTGTGGGAATAAAAAAACGTCATTGGGTGCCAAATCAGGGCTGTACAGCGGATGAATCGTCAATTCAATGTTTTGGCCCATCAAAAATTCCTTTGTTTGAGCCAATGTGTGAGAGCTCACACTGTCCATGACGAAGAATGATTCGCCTCTTCTGCTTTTTTTTCAGTTTCTTCGATGACTTCTGGCAAACAAATGGTCATGTACCATTCCAAATTCACCGTTCTATGTTGTTCTAACGCCACTGTCGCAATGTGACCGGTAATGCCGAAGAAACTGGTAACCGTTAGGTTTTATGTTTTCTCCGCAAACAATTTTTGTCGGATTTGGCTCATCTTGGAAGATCCATACAGTTGACTGCTGTTTTGTTTCGGGTTCATATACATAGATCTATGATTTGGCGCCGGTGTAAGTATTATATACAGCCTCTGATGCATCTTGAACCTAACTGTTTCAACATTGTCTTACACCAATCAACAGAGCCTTTTTTTGAGTGCTTGTCAGATTATGTGGGATTCAATGCGAACAAATCATTTTTACGGCCAAAATGTTCATGTAATATCTTATTGATGCTTGTCATACTAATGCCCAGAGATGCCTCAATCTCACGGCATGTCACATGACAATATTGCTTTTTCATATTTTCTACCACAATAACTAATTTTGGACAACCTTCACAAAATCGATCCTGGAGCAAATATCGACCTTGGTTGATTTCATTATACCAGTTTTTTACAGTTCCAGAGGATGTTGTGTTATCGCTGTATAAAGAGTTCATTGAAGCACTTCACTTGATAATCCACGTCGAAAGTTATGAAAAATAATCGCATGAAAATGTTCACGAGTCAATTCAATTTTTTGCCCAAGATGAATTTTTCAATTTACTGTAAACGGCACAAAGCACGCTACAGTGGCAAAATGTTCTGAAGAAGTTATGGTTAAAAATATCAAACTTTTGACTGAAATCATCTGCAATCGCTTAGCAACACTTACTGTTGCCAAGGCCAGAAATATAAATAGCAGCCTTCATAATGCCACTGCATGGAAAGTGTTATATTTTTTTTAGAAATATACTGTTTTGCCTATTAGTACAGAGTGTAGAAATGCACATTCCATGAAATTAATATGTTCAATACTGTAACTTTTTAAAAATTAAAACAGGTCAATGTGTACATGAGAGCAGCAGCAGTTTGCTCTGCCAGTGCCCAAAATTTGGCAATTCTTTTATGTCTTTTTAAGTTGAAGCAGATTGCTGTGCATACAGACAGAACACCAAGAAAATATAAAATTAAGTATTTTATAATGGATGTCTCTTGCATTTTTAATTTTGTTAATTCATTGCCGTTTTATGTAAATGTAAACAAGCTGCCTTTTTTTTTTATTTATTTTTTATTTTTTTTTATGATTACTGTTCTTTATGTGTTAGATTGGTGAAAAAGCAGTCACTAATGACTGGCGACTTTGCAGGTGGTTTGAGCAGCTAATGCAAGAGTACCAAAATATACTCCAACATGATAAAAATTAATTTATATAATGAACATAAATAATAAAAGAAATCATTACAATTTGGCAGCAATGGAGATAGTTATTCAAATAGAAAGCTGTAAGAATTTAATAAATCAATGTATTATATAATGCTACCCTGAGTTGGACAAGTACTTTCTGATTATCCACTGCCCCCCTTGCAGAAATTCACAACTAAATTTTCTCCAAGCTAAGATGCGAAAGACAACATCGTTTACATAAAATAGCAAGCTATTAACAAAATTAAAAATGCAAGAAATATTTATAATAAAACTGTTCTGTCCATGTAGAGCAATCTGTTTTAGCTAAAAAAAAATTAGAGAATAGCAGAAACTCAGCACTGTGGCATAATTTAGCACTGTCATTTTCCTCTAGTACACAGTGGATCCATAAAATTCAACCATTTGCGAAACACAACTTCATAGAAGGAGAATTTTCAATTGTCTACTGTTGGGCAAAATGTCCTTTTCTGAAGAAAAGCACCATTTTCTTCTTTTAGCCAGCAAATTCTACAATTCTATTATGATTAATGAAGCATCTGAGGAGTTATTTTTGTCTTTCATTTCTTCAGGATGGTACTGAAAAAGTGCATGGAATTAATACCGGAGAGGTATGACATTAAGCTTGATTAAAATACAGCTACTTAGCTGTGGTCTAAAATTCTTTAGCTGAAGAGAGAAAGAATCTAACAGAGAAGAAGTCCTTGATAGTCATAGTATTCCCCCCCCTTTGTCTTCTTTACTTTCTCATCTTCTCCAAAAGAAATTTTCCGCTGGATTCTCCCATATTCCTGTTCAAGAAGGGCTTTTAATTCTTTAGGGATAAGCATGTACAGATGCTTTTCTAACAGCTCCTCTACATCATGAATTTCCTCTGCTGTGAAAACAACATAATCTGCAATATCATTGATCATTCACTAGTTCACTGTGGACATATGTAGGATATATTTTCTTGAGGCGAGTCGAAAATTCTTTTAATGATTTCATACCACTCATTCTGGATCAACTAGATAGCTTCTATAAAATCAAATATGAAAGTATGACTATCACATTTTCCACCAGTTTTCATCTGCTAGAATAGTTAGAGTTTCTACTATCATAACAAATAAAAATTATAAGAAGTCCAACCATCTTCTTAAATGTAATTTTCTACATAGTATTCTGAAATTCTCCATGAGCTGAAGAATAGAAGTTACATCGGGAAAAGCAAGTACTAGAATGCCATACTGAACTCCAATTACTCGTCTTGCTCTTTCAGACAGGCAGAGACATTAAAAAACAACAGCATAACTTTCAGTATCAAACTTTTCTCTACCAGATATGTTTTGAAATGGGATGAAATCTTTTATTAACCCCTTTTTATATATCCATTGAACAGCCCAAAATTTTCATTCATTCTTTACAGTACAAGCAATCTTGATTTAATAAAACTAAGATTTTCCAGCGTAGTAGAAGTCTCATTCAAATTTCTATTTGCAATAATTACAATGAGAGCAAGGAATGTTAATTTTTCATGGGTGGGTGTGAGGATAAACTGTTTCTTTTTTATGTGAACTCCTTTTCTTGCTAAGTGAACTCTGTTAGATGTATTTCCCCAAGACAGACCAAGTTTTGTGACTTGCATGGAACTAGTTTGCTGTACAGGATATTTTGGCACGTTTTTTTTAATGCACATTCATTATGCAGGACATTCAATTGGCAAAGTTCCAGTGTTTTAATATTCATAAAAAATTATATAACAAATAAAAAAACAAATATTTTTAATCTACACAAAAAGATTAAACTCTTGGGCGAATTATTTAAACTTTCTTATACATATGTAATTAAATTAAGCCCTCATTCATTTCATCAATTAATAAAGAGAGTATATATTCAGATAAAATGAATGCAGAAAAATACATGCACGCGCATTAAAAAAAAAAATTCTCCAAGTTTAACATTTCAATGTTTCAGATATTAAAAAATAAATAAATAAAATAAAATAAAAACATTTAAATTGGAAGTTTGAATTACATTTCTGGGAAATTTTAGAGGCATACTTACAATGATAAAAAATGCAAAAATGCATAAAATTCTTACCTGCTCAGCCTGTTCCATCACAGAACGCCTTGCACTACTTCTGGAAAACTCATCAGCTAATCTTCTAATATTTCCTCCAATTGATATAATATGCTCATTGTTAAACCCCACAGGAACACTATGAACAAATATAAAATTCTGATGATTGCTTTTGAAAAAATGTACACTTCAGGAATTTAGGATCCAAAAGTTTAAGAAGCAGGCCAATAGAGGACATACATACTTTTACAAATTTTGTACATAGATAGATAATTTTAGTGAAATTATATGTGAAATTCCTGTATTCCTTTAGTATACTGTAACATGAAATTCTAAAGCAGCGAAGCTTGCCGTAAGAGTAAGAATACAGGGGCAAGTCTGTTTAACATTGAGTAAATGGCTATTTTGCTAATTTGGTGAGATATTGGCAAGTTGGGAATGGTCTAGTGCAGTGGTGTGCAAACTAGGCATCTCCAGAAGTTTTTTGGGGGTCGCCAAATTTTTATGAAATGCATTATGCCTGCATGCTGCATACCATACAGTGTACATATAAAGAGTGAAGCGCCGTCACTAACTATTTAATAGCAATTTCATGCTGTCCGCTCTTTCTTTGACCGTAATGTGTAATGTATGTAAAGCGTGAAGACGCAAGTTTTTCACTCCGGTAGATAGCGCCTTTTTCGCGGTAATTCGTCAGTTTTACTGAAAAGCGTCTATTTGACTAGACGTTAACCGCAGGGAAAGGGGAAGAATTCGCTACGTGATCAGCTAATCAGATGGCGAGGTACGCGGTGTTTCTGATAGTCAGAGTGAAGACGTGAAGTTGTAGCATGTAGCAGTTGGCCTGCAATTGTTTTAGTTTATCCTCGAGTTTTATCATGTGACGTTGTGTAATTATGATTTTTTATATTTTTATCGGGCTTTGCTACTCTTTGTTATCAGGTATGTACTATCATTAGAGAAAGATCTCTGTTAATTTTATTGAATTTCTCGAAAAAAAAAATGATAAAATTTTATATATTATTTGTTTTACTTTAAATAATTTAACCCCTATCTTCATAATGGATATAAATGGGTAATACGTACACCAGGTACATCTTCAGCTAACAAACGAACAAATACTGATGAGGAGTCGCAAAATACTGAACTAAATGCCCGATCTAAAAAAAATAAGAAAATACAATGAGGAATTTATTAAGTATGGTTTTACATTTTTTGTTGTTGATGATGAAGAACGCCCGATATGTGTCATTTGCAACGAAAAATTAGCAAATGAGAGCATGAAACCAGCTAAATTAAAAAGGCACCTGGAAACTAAACATAAAGAACTTTCAAAATAAACATGCCGATTTTTTTCAAAGACGAGCTGAAAATCTGAAAATTCAAAGTGCACATTTAAAGAAATTTACAACAATACCTCAGAAAGCATTACGAGCTTCTTTAGAAGTTTCTTATCTAATAGGAAAAACAATGAAACCCCATACAATTGGAGAATCCCTTATCCTTCCTGCAGCAACTAAGATGACATCAATTATGCATGGCGATAAATATGGAAATGAAACTAAAAACAATACCATTATCAAGAGATACCGTGTCTCTCGGCGGATTTCCGAAATGTCACGAAATATCGAGTCAGAAGTCATAAAACGCATACAAAATTCATCTGTATTTGCTTTACAACTGGACGAGACTACCGATATTACTAAAATGTCACAAACTAATTATTTACGTTAGGTTTATTTTTAATGAAGATATAACAGAAACGTTTTTATGTTGCAATAGTTTAGAAGGAAAAACAACTGGAGAAAAAATATTTGAAGTAATAAATATTTTGAAACAAAGTCCCTTACCTGGGCAAACTGTGTTGCGGAACTGTCCAACGTCTAGGACTGAATTTAACCCTTGATTTTGTCTTAAGGGATTTGTTAAAACTGTCCAACGTCTAGGACTGAAACTTACCTCAGTAAGTTTCAGTCCTAGACGTTCACTGTTTTTACAGTGCGACAACAACCCACAAAACAATAGGCAAGAGTCTTTTTAAAATTCATATATTACTTGTCTCTAGGATCATAATATTCAATTTCTAGAGTTTTTAGTTAAAAAATTATAAAAATAATATAGTGCACTTCAAAGGGAAATTTATTTATTCACGATGCAGATAAGCCTTAAGCATGTGCAAGAAATAGGTGTAAGCATAATAAATAATGGTACTTTTCCGTCTTGCCGGCGCAAGCGATAAAGTCGCCAATAATGGTACAACCAATGCCAAACGGAATATTCTCGCTGGTACCTTTACGCCTCATTTTCAAAACAAGTCGCAGTTTTTCCTTATCAGATTGATTGTTTCTTTCAATACTAGCATATATTACATAGAATTTTTATCAGATAGTATAGTTTTATGTCTAAGGCCATTTCGGTAATTAAGGTCAATTAGGAGGCAATCACAGCAACTTACCCGAAGCCGAAAAAATATAGAAAATAAAGTCAAGGGTTAAATTCATCCATTCAATGAGATGCATTCGCAAATGCACTGCGGTTTTACTAATTTTCTGAGTAAGCTATTCGACGAATTGAAATTTTCTTGCATTTAACCTTGTGTATCAAATGAAGATTGAACTTGAAATAATGTAATATTAACTGAGAGCATTAGATTTTTGTAGAGTAGTTTGCTTGAGATGAGACGCTTGGGGTACGGATATAATGGCGAATAGGATGTTGAACCATGAAAGATAGCAATTCTTAAATTAATGCTTTACAAATTTATGGTCTTTATTATGGCTTTTTATAAAATTTTAGCGATATTAAAATGTTTATGCTCAAAATAAAAAATTCTTGGAGCTAACTTTTTTTATATTTTTATGTGTATCATTGTGTCGCCATAATCTGCTTGCGAGATTTGTGCCTGCGAAACGGGAAAGTACCTAAATAATAAAGTAATACAATTCAGTTTAATTATCTCAGTGCGAGATGGGAGCAAGATAAAATTTAGCAGAAAGAACAATTGTGTTTAGTATATATCTGATACATGCCAACCTATTATAGGGAACGATAGCTAAATTTAGGATGATAGCCGCAAATCTGAGGTTTTAAGATATCACAACAAAGGTGAAATTTTCAATACGGTTTTTGTGAAGAGAAAGCGACGAAATGAAGGTTGGAATGTTAATAAATGAAGGTGATATAAAAGAGGTTTTTCATTGTGATGGCAATGCTCCTCAATCACCAATCAATTAACGGATGGCAAAATGTGCAGTATGGTTCTAGATCCAGAAAATATCGCTACTTATAGTGAAGAAAGTGACAGAGACAGCAAAAAAAATTCAGTTGAGAAGTTAGTGGGAGTTCTAGACACAGCAGTTACAGGACTTCAACAATGGAACTTTGAAAAAGAAATTATGTCTGTCTACAGAATTAAAGAGAAAGTATTAGCACAAAAAACGAAGCAACTTAAACAACTTGAAAGAAATATTTAATAAAGTAAACAAATATTAAGCTTTTTTTTATAAATTTCGATATTCCTTAGATCATAAATTTTTATGATTTCATATTTTTTATTTTATTTTTTTTACAAGCCATCTTACTAGATTTAAACTGATGATCTAATACCTGGAAAAATTCCAAATCCGGAATCATGGAAGTCTTAACAAGTTTGGATCTGGGACTTTGTACTGTATATTCTGTTTTCACTGATCATAAGGTCCAGAAATTAACCATGTCTCCTTCCCAGAATTTCATTTTAAATCAGGTGTCATTTGAGAGTTCAATTAAATGTTCTCTTGCGTTCAATGACAATTTGTTATTTTCAGTATTGCAATTGAAAAGAATGTGAAAATCCATTCACTATTATCACTTGGAAAATAAGTTTTAAATAGTGATCTCAGAGTTTCACGATGGGATTATATATATGCCACTGCACAATTCATTTTCAAAACAATTATCATTTTCTACTAAAAAAGATTTTATGATTGGAAATGGTGAAACATTTCTCTATTTTTACACAAATAACCTGCAAGCCAAATTTCCTCTCAAATCCCTTTATTTTCTTGAAGACATTGAGAAAAGTCCAACAATTATCTTGTAGACAGAGATTTAATTTATTTAGCTAACCCATATGAAAGATATGCCAGTAAACTTAGCCACATATTATCAGCAAGAAATGATGTAAAATCTTGTTAATTTCATTTGCAAATAGCAGGACATTTTTGCAATTCTAGGAGGACCAGAAAGGCAGGCTTGAGGACTGTTTGCACTCCACAGACCATAATTTGAGAAATGCTGTTATATACAGTACAAAATCCGTAATCAGGACTCGTTGGGACTTCGGCGATTCTGAATTAGGGGTTTTTCCGAATTATAGATCATCAATTTAAATCTGGTAAGATGGCATGCAGAAGTTATACAATTAAAAATATGAAACCGTAAGGTACTTCATATTATCGCAACCAGGTTGGCGCTATTTGTAAATTTGAGTAAAAAAGTATGAATAGAAAGAAAATGTACATTTATTAATTACAGATAATTTTAATACAGTTTTTATATTATTTTGTTTTAAAATATAAAATAGCAATTAAACCCTTCCAGTTTTGAATTTGAATAAGTTGAAGAATTATTTTTTCGTTGTAAATCTTTTGGCTATTGCTTTTAGGACTGATTGAAAACCGTATTCGCCTTAACCATGTACACGTCGACTTATTTTTACTTAAAAAAAAATCCAAGAATTGCACAAAAATGGCATTGCACATACTCTTGACTTTATCCATTTACACTGCTATTTTCTCATAAATAACAAAAATTTGCACGAAAATGCAGGAAAATTTTGTGAATCTCCACATGCTCTTTTTACAAAACTACGTATAACACGTAGGGTTGCCATAAGTAGGGTCACCAAATTTCGCAATTTATGCGAATTTTGGCCTGGTTGCGTTAATATGTAAGTACTAACCGTAATTTATAAAATAAAGAGCAATTATGATCTAAAGGATACCAAAATTTACACACACACACACACACACAAAAAAAAAAAAAAAAAAAAAAGGCTTAATATTTATTTGTTTACTTTATTAAACATTTCTTTCAATGTAAGTTGTTTAAGTTGCTTCATTTTTAGTGCTAATACTTTCTCTTTAATTCTATAAACAGACATCAGTCACACAATTCTGCTGTTCCAAGTCCTGTAATTGCTGTGTCAAGAATACTGACTAACTTGTCAATCGAAATTTTTTCGTTTTCAATAACATTCTCTGTTACTTTCTTCACTATTGGAAGCGCGCATGGGTAAACACTTTACTGGCTTTATGCACATGCGTAAGTTTGTGGCTTTGAGGTCCGGATTATACATCATTCCGGATAATGGACGCCCAGAATACCAACTTTGTACTGTAGTAGATAATGCAAAACAGACACTAAGTAATAAAGCTGAGCTCTATGCTTTGATTCTTCAATTTATAAGCATAAGTGTATTTTAATACCAATTAAAATATTTTTTTTATAAACAGCAATAAAAGTAAATCAGGAAATAGATTAAACTTTTCAATAATATCTTACCCAGCTAATGTAGGAGGTACTGGTTGTTCCATTCTTTGCCTCATTCCTTGAGCATAGAGACGACCATTTACTACTCGTTCATTCTGAACTACTTCATCAGATTCCAGATCATTTGCTGGTGGATCAGCAACTCCCATAGGAATAGGATTTAAAAATCCTTCATGTTCTAACTCTTCTTGTACAAAATGTTCAAACAACAGTTCTCCATCTAATCCTACATGTTCTCTGGATGGTGGTGTTGCAAAAATTGGTATAGCCATCTGATTTAATGGTGCTGTGATGCTGAAAGTCATATCAGTTTCTGCTGAAAAATAATTATTGGACGAGTTATATGTAGTAGATGAAGACAGAAACAAACTTTGGCTGTTCTTTAATCAACTGCATACCAAAATTAAACATAATACAAAAATTTAATACTACTTCATTTAATCACATAAAAGAAAGTACTTAGAGGTGCCACCCTAAAAAACTTTTTTTAAGAAATTAGAAGAAAGTTTTAAAAGATAAAAATGAACAGAAAGAAAATTTAAAAAATAACGAATTAAAATAGTATTTTATTAAAATTTGAAAGTACAATCACAAATTTTTAAGTGCAAAGATATAAAAATACTTACATGCAAAAAAGTATTTTTAGTATAAAAATAATGCTTAAATCAGTTTTAGGTACTTTTCCGTTTCGCCGGCACAAATCTCGCCAAGCAGACTTTATTGGTGACAACATACAGTATACACATAAAAAATTTTAACAAACGTTAGTTCTAAGAATTTTTTATTTTGAAGGCATAAATATTTCAATATGGTTTAAAATTTTGTAAAAAGCCAATAAATAAAGACAATAAATTTGTAAAAAGACATTAATTTAAGAATTTGCTATGCTTTCAACACCCTGATTCACGGGTTCGCATCAGGTAACCCCAAGTGATCTCATCTTACGTAAACTACGCTACAAAAATTTAATTCTCTCAGTAATTATTTACATTAATTTCAAGTTAAATCTTAATTTGGAATACAAGTTTAAATGCAAGATTTATTTTCAATTCGTGCGAATAGCTTACTCAGAAATTATGTAAAACCTCAGTGCTTTACTTCGCTAGTGCATTCTCATTAGAATTCATGAATTTAACCCTTGATTTTGTCTTTTCTATATTTTCGTCTTTGGGTAAGCAGTGTGATTGCATTCTAGTTGACTTAATTACCGCGAATGGGCTTAGGGCATAAAATTTGACTATCTTCCAAAAATTCAATATAATTGTATGCCAGTATTGAAAAAAAAAATCAATCTGATAAGAAATGGCTGTGACGTGTTTTGAAAATGAAGCGTGAAAGGTTACTAGCAAAGGTACTCCGTTTGGCACGAGTTGTACCATTGTTAGCAACTTTTACCGTTTGCGTCGACAAAACGGAAAAGTACCCAGTTTTATAATGCATGCTCTAAATAGTGGCAGATTTTGCTTTTTTTTTTTTTTTTTTTTTTAATGAAGAAAAAACATTATTACTTTATTCATAGCAATTGTCGCACTAATACTTGAACTAAATTTAATCCCTGTTTTAGTAACACCACTGAAAGCTCTCTCATGCTCTCCACTGATATGAAGAATTTATCAGGATGGTAAACATTATTTCAGATAGTCCATGGTTTTTTTTAAATTCATTGAGATTTTTTAATTTTATAATTAAATCTGCTTGGTATCAGTCCTTGCTAGTTTTATAACTTTATTCAAGTTTTCTAACTGAAATTTGCAAAGCTGTGAATGCAGTTTGCCAGTTACAACAAAAATACCATCACTTTTCAAAACTTACATATCTATTTAAAAAAATGGCATTTTCTAAAGAAGTAGTTCCCAAAGCATGAGCCACTACACACTGGTGGCTTTGTAAACAATTTTTGTTGAGATATGGAAAGTCTTGAAGTTTTTGCCTTTTACTGGTAGGTGATATACTTAACTGTAATTATGAATTCATTTATATTTATAAACTAATTGTTAGTCATTGTATCTATTATTACATTATTATTGCATTATTATCTATTATTACATTATTTTTTAGCAATCTTGTTTCTTCTTCCTCACATAATATATAAAATCACTTCATTGTTAACCAGAAATTTATGTAACATATAATAATAACTTCCAAACATTAAATAAAATTTTTTGACTTTCTCTAAAATTTCTTAAAAGTTCTTTACTAGTTGCAGCTCTTATTATCAAATCTTCAACTGCGATTTCCTAATTTACCATAATATACATGGCAAGAAACAGCCTTCTTTTTTCTGCCATTCATTGATTCTATATTTGCATGACTGTTGCTTGGCAATGTCTGGCATGATGACCCATTTCTTGGAAGAATAATTCGCAATCTTTGTATGCAGTGACAAAACCGTGTTCGAATCATGCTCACATTTCTCTATAATGCATACTAAAGCAGCACATACAAAAAACTCTCACAAAAGAACAATTCACATTATTCAAAATAAAATGGCAGTCCTTCCTCCCTTATGGATCGTAGGGAGCACTGCAGTTGCCCACGATTGCTCGATATCATAATCATTTGCATATTCCATCGTGGTACACACAGTTTAAGTTTCTGGTTTGATGCTGATTGGATGCTTTCCTTCATGGAGTTGCATTTTGGATGGCAGCAGTTTATATATGATTAATTGATTTCACAGACTTACAATTCTCATATTTCGAGATTTATTCCTTATCTGAGGGAACCTTTATTTATTTATTTGGCTTCAGATACCTCACATCAAGCCTGTAGTTATTTGTCAGCCAACAAGAAATTTAGCCAATTTTAGCCAATGCCTACATTTAGTTGACACAATCATTTAGCGTGTATGAAATTTATGATTTAACATGAAAGAATTCAAAGATTAGTTTTACTAACTGAAGAAACTTTATGAATAATTTTTGCAGATCTTCGATTTGCAAAAATTATGATAAAGTGTCCAATAGGATTTAGCTATCAAAAATGTGTTTATTTCTCCTCTTTGAACATACAATTCATATTCCCTGACAAAAAATTTAACTAACTGAAGAAGCTTTATGAATAATTTTTGCAGATCCAAAGTCAAAATTATGATCAAGTGTCCAATAGGATTTAGCTATGAAAAATTTGTTTATTCTCCTTTTTGAACATACAATTCATATTCCCTGACGAGAAATTTCAATGCTCTTTCAGTCTGGAAGATATATTTTTCCTAGGCTGCAATACTGGCACAACTCGAAAAATGGAATTTTGAGATAAATAAAAATAAGCATTATGAAAAGGGCTTAAACAGAAACTGTTAATAATAATTACAAAATGGTTATAAAATAAGAACTATTTAATTAAAAATCTTATCAAATTGTATTTATTATTTTCTTTCTTTCTTTTATTCTTATCAAATTGTAATTATTATTTTCTTTCTTTCTTTTTTTTAAACATTTACGTTTAATTATATTGGAAATTTATGGCTCATAATAATGAAAAGAATTTAGAGATAAGACACCAAGTCTTATTAATAATATTATCACATTGGGTCATGTACTACAAAACTACTATAAAATAGTATTCTCAGTGTTTCAGTGCTACATCATTAATCAAACTACAAAAGAAAGTCAACAGTTTCCCAAGAATAGTCTATATTTACATCATACATTACATGATTAATTAAACTTCCTGATGTCTGGTTACTTCATCTAAATTTTCAAATAAAGATCGGGTTACATATTTAGTTAATTTATCTAAAGGCTTATAACATCTAAAATTTCATACTTATATGAAGTACATTTTCATCTTGCATCTAAAAATCAATGCCATATTAAATTAAATTTTAGCCAGAAACTCTCTTTTTAAGTACAGCAAACCTATACACTACTCAGAATGACATAATATTATGTTATTTCTATCAAACTACTTTCATACAATTTTAATTATAGCAATTACAGTTTTTATAGTAGCATTTGGAAGTGGTCAGTACCATACTGCTCCCAGATAAATTATTTTACAAAAATTCCATCTTTATTTAAGAAATTCTATCACTCTACAAACCTGTCACAGACAATTTTCTAAGAGGTACTTGAAATACACTTTTCTCAGTGTACACAATGCTGCATTAAAAAGCCGCCAACCGTGTAATATATCCTTTACATTTTATATATAAAATGAACTTCTGTTGAGAAATATCTGCTGCCACAATAAGGCTTATTGATTCAACAGATCAAATAATGCCAGCAGCTACATAACACTTATCCAAACTGTGCACTGTAGAGCACAATATTTTGAGAACTCCAAAAGTTACTCTTACAGTTTATTACAGATTAATTACTCTTTGAACTTATTAGCCATATACTAAGATTCGGCAAGACATACTGTTATTAATTTTCGAAATATCATAGAGCCACCAATCACACCTGCATTTGGAAAAAACTTATAATGTATTTGCTATTAGACTGAACTTTCCATCTTCTCATCTTCTTAAAACTAATTCCCAATACTTCATCCAAACATTGCCTTGTTTGTCAAAATTAAATTAAGAAGCTTTTTTAATAAAACACTGCAAAATTTACAGAAAATTATGTTTCACATGAAAATGATTTCAAATAATGGCTCCTGTTAACAACAGTTAAAAATACGGGATTTATTTATTTTTTGTTCCAAAAGGTTCTACAGGAATACAAGATCATACATTCCAACCTAATGCTAATTCTTGCTGATAGAATTAAATAATATAAATTCTTCATTTATAAGCTTAATAAGATTTTTACAATCATTTTAATTTTTAGTAGTGTAGGCTCGTTTCTTGATATGAATTTCTTTTTTAAATGTTCCCAGTGGAACTAGTCAATTAGTTACCTGAATTGTGATGAACACGAGAAAAGATTAAAAGAAACTTTAGATTTAATCATTTACTCAAAAAAGAGCAGTGAAAATTCATGCTTCAATTTTCAACCAGTTCAGCTCATTACTGTGATGCAAAATTTAATGAATGAGAGTGCATGCAGACAAATTTAATGCATGTGAGTACTATGGTTGCATTTGTTACCTTAAAAATACTTGTTGAATAAATTCAAATACAAATTTAAAAATATAATTTAATACATTTCAAGTATATGTGACAAGTTTGATAAGTAATTAAAAAGGTACATTTATCATTATTATCGTCACTTCCCATTATACCATTGACTTTACCCTTAAATACACAAAATGTAGAAACAGCATTAGAATATTATCTGTGTGCATTATTTCAATGAAATCTTATCATCTTTATATTATCTAAAGTAACTTAAACTACAGCTTTAACACACTGTAAACTGAAAATGTATCTCTGATCTTAAAGTGGAAACTACACATATGTCATTTCTCATACATAATTTTGTGATAGATTACATACAGGTATATTTTTTAGATGTTACATGCAATCTCTAAATAATTCAGAATTATCTTTCTTAGAATATCTTTTTTTTTACGTAAAATAATAACGATGAACCACGTTAAATGCTTACTAAAATCGGATAAAATGAAAACATTAGACTTTAATTTATATGTGAAAAGAAACACTAATTAGAAAAAGTCAAAATCCAATTTTTCATCATTTGGCACAAGCAATTTTAATCACAGCAGATTTAAATAAAAGAATTTAGTACAATAATAAAAAATATGCCGTGGCGATTGCATCATACACCGTAACAGATTTTACTTTTTTAAATAGTGTGCAGTACAATTAAGTTTCACTTATACCTGCATTTAATCAGATACACGACATATAAATAAAAAAAAATTACACTTTGCCTTTCTTTAAGCAGATAAAAGTCACAACATTAGATGAATAAAACTAACAAAGGTATAAAAGTAAAAAAATATATAAATATTTCATACGAAAAAATAAACTATTCTTCACTTCAGCATAAATTTTACATACTTTGGCTTCAAATAACAAGTCTTAGCATGACTGAAATTTCCTAGCCTGTGTTTTAAACAATAAAAAAAAATAACCTATTCCCACTCCATGAAACTACCGCTCATCACTAGGGGACAAGTACATTTATTTGCTCATTTGCTGTATAAAAATATCAAAAACAAAAAAATGTATTTGAAGCAGAGTGGCGACCTCTGGTGATTAACGAGCTAGCGTCAGAATATACGAGAAGATGCGTCAGAATATACGAGAATAAAAGTTTTATCCACTGGAAGATGAATATCATACAGCTTTAAGGTTAATAAGTTTGAGAATATTTAATATTTAAAGAGTATCTTATGATGTTCACATTGATTCTTCTCTTCCGGGGGACCTACCCTGAAATTGGCTCTCTTTCCAGAACGGTGCGAAACAAAGTGTGTGAGGAATGAGATCTTCCCAGTCTTGAAAAAAAAAAAAACCTCTTTCCTAAGTGACCTCGGTAAGGTGCTGCTAGCTCTTTAACCCTCCTGGTTAAATGAGAATTTGGCTATTTTCCCCAACTCAGATTGCCGATATTATTTGGCGAGAGTTTAGAGTTCCTTTTTTTCCGTTCCTTATTTTCCGGGTGACATTTTTTCGTTCCTTAATTTCCGGCGACATTCTGTCCGTTTCCCTTTTTTCCAGGTGACAACTTTTTCCGCACACCACGCATATGCCATTAACTTTCATAGCATTATATATATTTTGCCTTGAAACAATATAAGAGGTAAAATTTTAGTTTTAAATGTCACTTCAGGTTCTCTGACTATTTCCGAGATACGAGCGATATACATATAGTAATGGTATCAATTAGAGACTACGATCTTAGAATCGCTTCCTCACATGTATGCAATTTGCTTTCAATTTTAATATCTTTTATAGTCTGACTCAAGCGGTAAATAATATTTTGAATATTTAGTAAGAAACATGCGTTATTCTACCCACAGTTTAACATTTCATTACTCTGCATTGTTGTTTCGTTGTTTCATTATGTTTGCCTATCATTTGCTCGTTTCGTATTGTTGGAATTGAGTATTACACTCATATTCCAAATATATTTTATACACGTCAATAGTTATACTAGTATTTCCTTCCTTGCTTGGAATGATAAATTAATTATCTGAATGAAAAACTTTAGTTGGCATCACGGTGTATTGATTTCGTCTGCTTGTAATATTTACAGTGAATCTTGTCAAGCGTGTGTTTTCGACGAAAGATTGACCTTAGGTATTTAATTTAATATGGCATTTGGAAATATTAATTTTGGACACTATGCGCGATGGCTAACTGATCAAGAAATTGAGAAGTTGACTAAAGAAAAAGTATCTGTGTGTGATTTTAAACAAAATAAACTAGAAGCTGATTCCAAAAAGAACTGGGATCTTTTCTATAAAAGAAACAAAACAAATTTTTTCAAAGATCGGCATTGGACTGTCAGAGAGTTCGAAGAGTTGGCGAATACTACCGTTGTGAATATTGCAAAGGTATTAATTTTCTGAGTGCTTCTAGAATCTTACTCCCTTTGTTTAACCAACTTTTATGTTTATAATTTTTGAGTTTAGTCTAACATTAATAAATAGTTTAAAATTATTTAGTATTACCTATAATAAGTTCTCATCGAATCGAATCAATATTATTTTGAGAAATACTAATTACTATCTTTTTAATTTGTGTTGCCTTTTTTCCTAATTTTAAAAAGTGGCTTTAGTAGTTCAGTCAATGGTAGACATTAGAGTGGTCAGTCGACAGAGCCTGTAATTTACTTTATTACGAAACAAAAATGTTTCTACATATTTTTTATTAATTTTTTTTGCTTGAATGTTTCTTGTAAAATTACAGTAAATTTCTGAGCAGTTGGAGTTAAAGGAACAATGGAGGTAAACAACTAAGTATTTATTATTTATAGAAATCTCAACAAAAGATAAAAAATTACTTTAAGATTTTTTTTTAGTTTTCTGTATGTACCAGGTTACATGTTTAATTGGTTAATACCCTTTATATTTCCTTAAGGTGCCTGCAAACTGAAATATTAAGCATTTATTTAAATGAATTTAACTTAGATGCTAACCCTTGCTATCTAAGCATAAGTGCTATTTGATGTAAGTAAAATTGTATACAGTTTATTTTTAGAGAGAAAAATCTCATTCATATTAAATCAGAAATGGTATGAGGGGGGATCTTTACTGAAAAATAAAATTATGTGATGTCTGATAAATCAAATTTATTAATTTATTAGTTTTATTAATATTTTTAATTTTATAGACATTAATAGGTTTAGCCACTTTGTTAAATTAATTCTACAAAAATTACTTTATGCGTGTATTAGCTTTGTAGTTTTTAGATTATTAGATAAAGGTATGTATATAAGAATATTTAAAAACGATTAGGAAAAAAGGAATAATGTGATATATTAGATGTAATATTATGTTCTTACTTAATTAGAAAAAAAGGGTGTATATTAGAAATATTCTCCTTAATTATGTATACCAAATTTGTCTGAAAAACATTACAAATATGTATATTCATGATGTTATTCAGTAAAATATGTTTCAGCTTCCTTTGTGGGAACAGGTATCTGATTATCCAGTTCAAATCTAATGAATTTATTTTGTAACTTAGGATATGATCTACCTTTGTTGATTCTCATTTTAATTTTGGGTGAGAAATTTAACTTTTAATTAGATGTAAAAGTCTTGATAAAGTTATTGTTTATTTAAAATTAATTGTGTAGAATAAATTTCAGTTTCTCTACAGCTGTCCCAGCACAAACTTTTAAGTTCTTTTTATAGGTAAGTTAATATGTTAGAAGTCATGAAAAATCATTGGTGTTTACTTGTTAAATAAATGATTTTATCCTTTACTTCTTTGTATACTCTGAAATGCAGGCCATCTCTGAATTTTTAACCTTAAATTGCTATCAATGTCTATATCATTCACCATGCCATCAAAGATTAGAAATTTGAATGAATTTTTGCACTATAACAGTCTTATTTTATTTGAATTTATTTTTATTCAAATAAATTAATAATTTAAATCAAAAGAAAATGTCTTTCTGTAGGAAAATAAATGGCAATATAGCACAGAGAATCCATACCTCATATGAATATTATTTTGTAAACATGTGCAAGAGTAATGGGAATTATTTATTTGTGTTAAATATAGTGTTTATATGTGCTAAAGTAATGATATCAATTTAAAAAATATAAAACCATGGCTGACTTACTAAAAATTTTCTTTTCTATATGAAAAATGTTTCATTATTAAATGATGTCAGTTCCTAGTTGTAGCTTGTAATATTTTTTAACTTGAACGTATGGTTCTTATTAAAACGAATTTTGGCTATCATTGTATGGCATTAATTTTAATATAAAAACAGCTAGATAGATTTTAGGCAAAAGCAGGATCTTTCTTTAGTTATAACTCTTGGTATTGAGTAAAGAGTAACTATGTATCTCATGAAGAGTAAACTGTATTTAAGAGAGTACAGTCAAAAGTCTTTAATCCGGATGTCCATAATCCAGAATGATCTATAATCCGGACATAAAACCTACAAACTTTCTGCGCATGCGCGTTTAATGTATAACGGACGGTATAAGCTAAGCTAAAATTATTTATTTCAGTTAATGTTGCAGATTGCGTTGTTCCTTAATCTTCTAATTGGATGCGGCTTATTATTTTTTGCAGACTGTTAGAGCAATTTTATAAAAGTAAGTGGGAATTACATCAAAAAGAATTTCCGATTCTGGAGCTTTCGATTATGTCAAAAAGAATTTCCAATTCTGGAGCTGCCGAAGGATCAACAAATGAAAGCATATTTGGATGTCCATCAAACGAAAAGTGTAATTCCTGCAAAAAATGGATAAAGGCATGAACAGAGTAACAGAGAGGTGATTTGTTTCTCTAACCATTCCGAAATCTGTTTATGAATTTCACGCTGGTCTGCGGGGAAAGGGGGGGACATCGCGGCGCACAATAAACTGGAAGTTGATCTGTCAGCACTATCCTTATCTTCAGGGCAGATGTTTTTATTTTATTCAGCTTATAATTCCTTACTAAATGTAGTATTTCATCTTGTTGTACTCCTTCTTTGATATGATTTAAATCAAATTCCTCGTCATTATAAATATCACGAATACACATCAAATAGTTTTCTAGTTGCAATTTTCTAATTTCGACTATGCGCAGCGTATGCTTTACGCATGCGCGTGTTGAAAGAAATGTTTTAAAAAACAAATAAATATAAAGGGTTTTTTTTGGTGATCTTTACATTATGGTAACTTGGCGTTTTTTTTTTTGGCGCAAATTTGCGACCAACTCTCCTACAGCAACCCTCTATTTTTGTGTTTTTTTTTTTTTTTTTTTTTTTTTTTTTTTTTGTTTTTTTTTTTTTTTTTTTTTTTTTTTTTTTTGTTTTTTTTTTTTGTTTTTTTCCCGCCGCCATTTTGTCTTCACGAGTAAACCATGTTTCTTTTCTTTTTATCTACTGAACACTTCTTCCAACAATCTACTAGCCGAATTACACTTATGCTAAATTTTTATCTAACCAAAACTGCTTATCATACAAATATGCACTGCAAAATTGGGAAAAGGTGCCAATACTACTCCTTCCGTTTTTCAAAATACACAACACATAAACCATGTACACGCCGACTTATTTTTTACTTAAAAAACATCCCAGAATTGCACAAATGGCATTGCGCACACCTCTTCACTATATCCATGTACACTGCTTTTTCTCATAAATTAGAAAATTTCACGAAAGACATGACAATTTTTCTCAATCTTTAAACCCGGTAAAAAAATGAACATATAAAAACCTGATCGCGAAAAAGTATTTACCCTTTCCAAATATGAACATTTCCACATATAAAATAAATAAAATATCCAAAAAACTTTACCTCAAATCATCTATTACATTATTACATCCACCAACGAATTCCCAATACCGCAAGCATTACAATACTTAGTATCAAATATTTAATTTTATTTCCATGCACGTTTACTTCACTAAACGTACCAAATTCCTACAAACATAAATTCACAAAATAACTATCATTTAATTAAATATCACTAAACCATGTACACGTCGACTTATTTTTTACTTAAAAAAACATCCCAAAATTGCAACAAAAATGGCATTTGCGCACACTCTTTCACTATATCCGTACACCTTTTTTTCTCAAATTAGAAAAATTTCACGAAATACATGACAATTTTCTCAATCTTTAACCCGGTAAAAGAACATATATGAATTACCTATCGCGAAAAAGTATTTACCCTTTCCAAATATGAACATTTCCACATAAAATAAATAAAATATCCAAAACTTTTACCTCTAAATCATCTATTACATTATACACGTCACCACCAAAATTCATACCGCAAGCATTACAAATACTTAGTATCAATATTTAAATTATTTCCATGCAGTTTACTTTTTAACTAAAACTACCAAATTCCTACAAACAAAATTCACAAAAACACTATCATTTTAATTAAAATATAATTAATTCAAAAACACTACTTAAAATATAAATGAGCACATACATTAAATTAATACATATTAAATACCCATTTCGAATTCAACTTTAGTTACTGCCATGGGATCCAAAAATTCACGAACACTGTTCACACAACACAGAATAAAGCCAATACAAAATTTCCAGATTTTTTCCTTTTTTTCCAGATTTCCCCCCTTTTCCGATTAAAGAACCGTAATTCGTCCATTAATATCACATGACATCTCCCATGATCTCTCTCATTTCCCTCACACAACAAATAATGCGTAATCGGAACTGAGTACTGCTCACTTATTACCAAAGTCCCAGGTAGTAACCTTTATCGCCTCCAAAATGTCGCCAAACTACCAGTTACCATATTGTAAAGATCAAACTTTTTTTTTTGTAAATTTTGATACTTTTTAGATCATAATTGCTCTTTATTTCATAAATTATGGTTTCATATTTTAATTTTATAATTTCTGCATGCCATCTTACCAGATTTAAACCGATGATCTATAATCCGGAATCGCCCAGAAGCACATTAATCTTGCCTTTGTAGATTAGTCAGCTGAACAAAAGCACTTGATACTTGGACATACAGTCACTTCACAATATTGGCAGATACTGCCTTAGTAATGTGATGCTGCAAACATAGATATAACAGTTGTGGCGGTTGCTCATCATTTCCGCTTGGCTACTATAGCAATATACAATACATACCGATCATCAAAGGAGTGGTAACCCTTGGTCAGTTAAGTACAGTCAAAAGTCGTTAATTTGGACACCCATAATCTGGACCTCAAAGCTAAAATCTTTCTGCGCATGCGCCGCGTTGACGCATGCACATAGGCATTTACACGTGCGCGCAAGACCTTTACGACTGCGCATATGCGTCTGCGCAAGCGCAGAATACGTTTTCGCATGCGCGTTTAATGTATAACGGACGGTATAAGCTAAAATTATCTAATTATCTATTTCAGTTAATGTTGATGATTGCGTTGTTCCTAATCTTCGAATTGGATCCGGCTTATTATTTTTTGCAGATTGCAAGAGCAATTTTATAAAAGTAAGCTTGAACTTTCGATTATGTCAAATAGAATTGAATTTCCGATGCTGGAGCTCCCAAAGGATCTACAAAATGAAAGTATGTTTCGGTGTCCATCAAACAAAATGTGGAATTGCTACAAAAAATGGATAAAGACATATCCTTTGTTTATCTAACCCTTCCGAAATCTGTTTATCAATTTCACGCTGCTCTGCGCGGGGAGGGGGGGGGAACGCCGCGGCGTGCAATGAACTAGAAGTTGATATATCAGCACTATCCTTATCTTCAGGGCAGATGTTTTTATTTTATTCAGCTTATAATTCCTTACTAAATGTAGTATTTTATTTTGATGTACTCCGTCTTTGATGTGATTTAAATCAAATTCCTCGTCATTATAAATATCACGAATACAAATCAAATAGTTTTCTGGTTGCAATTATCTAATTTCGGCTATGCGTAATGTATGCTTTACGCATGCGTGCGTTGAAAGAAATGTTTAATAAAGTAAACAAATAAATATTAAGCTTCTTTTTTTTTGTAAATTTTGATACCCTTTAGATCATAATTGCTCATTCTTTTTTATAATTACGGTTTCAATATTTTTAATTTTATAATTTTTCTGCTGCATGCCATCTTACCAGATTTAAACTGATGATCTATAATCCGGAAAAACGATAATCCGGAATCGCCGAAGTCCCTACGAGTCCGGATTAAAGACTTTTGACTGTATAGGTTTTCAGGCAAATATTTGACTTGTTAATTCAAGAAGTTAACAAATGACCAATGCCAAAGAAAAATGTGTCATCTTGGATGGTCCTTACATGGCCATGTAACATGACAGTGTCATCTTTGATGGTCCTTACATGCTTTAATGTGTCCGACAGCACATCAACACTTACTATCTGCCATTCATCTACTTTCAGCCGTATGAAAAGAATATCATAAAATATTATCCTACATAAGTATAAACATTTTATTAGCATTTAGATGAATTTCTTCAGACGCTTCAGAGTGCATAATTAGCATATGTGTGAGCAGTCAATCAGGATTGGCTGTGACAATATTTGCACACTGCATCTGCAGCAGTTTTTAACCAGTCAAATTCAACTAAACTTTCAAAAACTGCTGATTTGCATTGTATGTATAAATTTTGGAAGTCACCATACAGTATTTTATTGTTCTTGCAATGCACACACTTGTTAAAATGAAACAGGAACAACTTTCTATATTGGGAAAGCTATAGAGTACTACACTAATCACAAGAGCACCAATCTTATTCTTGGTACGTTTGTGTGGTGCAGGACTTTGCATACTGTGCGTATTCAGTATGTTTGGATTTTGGAATAACTTATATGCTGCAAATGCAATGCAACACTGCTATTTATATTTGCACTGTACAGGAAATGTTGAATGAAAGATAATGAAGGAATTGCATCTAATGTTTAATTAAATTCATACATCTGAGCTAAATTTTCATGACCCCAAAATTTCATTTTGCAGCCCATTTGGGATCGTGACCAAAGTTTAAGAAATGTTGATTTATATGATTATTCAAGGTAATTTAAGAATTCAAAACATAATATGAGAAAAAATAGAAAATGGCCAACATTCATGTCAGTCTAATTCAGTTTTCAAATGACAGATTTCTTTCAAAAACATATTGAAGGAAAAAAGTAAGGAGATACAATTTGAATTCCTGGACTAAATTTTTTAAAATCTTTTTTGATATTTACAAACTATATGTAACATTTTCCAAAGAGAAATATTTCAAACTATGCATATACCCATAAATGAGACTGGGATGCAAAATATATTAGAAAACTGTTTTGTTTTTAGGCCAACTAAATGTTGCCTTAAATATGAATCAAAGTTATTCGATGGTATGGCATTTCTAGTGTTAAAGAAGTGAATAAACTATCAAACTTCTTTAAAAAAATTTTTTTTAAAGCTAAGAGTGTTTATTTACTTATTTGATCTTTATATTGTTTTTCTCCACTTTTTTTTAATATATATTTCTTTTCTTAGGAAGGTGAAACAAAACCTGTGCTATTAGAAGTTGGATGTGGTGTTGGAAATTTCATTTTTCCTCTGATTGCAGACAAAACAAAGTTTTTTATTCATGCTTGTGATTTTTCTCCCCGAGCAATTGAATTGTTAAAGGTAAAAAATATTTCTTTTAGTATCTTTCCTACATAATTTAAAGGAAACAACAAATTTCATGTCAATATAAATCTGTACCACTGGAAACATTGTGTACAGTTCTTTACCTGATCATGATCAGCTCACTGAAACATGAGCATAAATATAAGCTTAGACATGTTCCTTTGGCTAATTTGCTGAGATCAATACAAAATTTTAGTTGCAAGTGCAACCTTGTGTTGCCAATTGTTGGTGCATTACTGAACTAATCCAAGAATTTTTTAACCAGCTGTATACCTATTGTTAAAATTAAAAAATAATCCAATGAAGTATTAGTTGGCTCTACATTAAATAATTCTTTTAAAGAATAATATTAAATTCAAGCATCGTGGAGGTAAAATGAGTATTATATTACACTAAGCACAATGGCACATTTATGATTTTGCCATCCCTAGGCTAAAATTGTTCTTCCATCCTTAAACTATATTAATTTTTTTACTTTATTTGCATTGTATCATTTAGAATATTGTATTATATTTATTACATTGTATTATTGAATAAATAAGTATTATTTAGAGCAATAATAAATCTTAATATAATTTCACATATCATCATTTTCATAGAAATTTTAGCAAAATATGTATGAATTTTTTATTTTTAACGTGATTTCGCCCCCTCCCAAACTGATGGATACTTGCTTCTTAGCATTTGTTAGGAATGGCCAAATTCATTGCTCAATTTGTTATTTTAACAGCATGAACTACTGTATATGGTGCATTACAAGAGGTAGTTGATGTTACAACTGATGTTACTGAAGAAGATGGAAAAATAACTTAGCCTTACATCAATATCAAAATCATAAACTTGGTTTCAGGCTAACAATCAACCTTCATTAACCACAATAGCATTCAGAATAGCCTAAATTGAAATTATAAAAGTGCAGAAAGTTAAAAAAAAATATCAGAAGTTATATTAAAGTACAAGAAAATTATAATTCATTTGCTGGATTTTTTTTTTTTAAAGCTAACCTTTTCCTCATCCGTAACGTGTCTAGCGCGTTCAAGTGAAACTTCTGCAGGGCGACCGTAACGTGCTACAAGCGTTCTTCTACATTTTAAAACGCTTTCTTAATGATTACTTGTTTGAGTTTTTGTTTGTTCTAATACCTCCTAGAGGGCAGCAGTAATCAAGCATTCTGTTTCTAATTGAATTTTCCCTGGGTTTTATGAATATTCACGCCATTTTACATAAAATACAAGACAGTGAGAGATGGCTTACTCAGCAGAAGAAAAGAAAAAATGAGGTTGTGAATTTGGAAGACAAGAGGATATACATTTGATGAGTACAGTCCATAGTAACTCGATGATTGATGTTGGAACATGGAAAAGAACTTTAAGAAAACAATAATTGTAAAAGATTACAACAACAAAATGGGAGGAGTGGACCGCCTGGAACAGATGTTATCAAATTAGCCTGCTGTTAGAAATAAGCAGAGATATTAATTTCCATTATTCTTTATTTCCTTATAATTTTACTTAATAGTCATTGACATTCATCCACTACGAAAGTTATGATGTACAGAGAAAACAACATTACACGCTACGAAAAACAGATGGCCGCTGGGGAGAAATTTTCACAGACAGGAGAGGACGGCAAGAGGGTTAAGTGCATTAAGTGCATATCATTAATAAGTAAAAACAATAAATAATAAACTAGGATATAATTATAATTTTGTGTCTCACTTTGATAATTTTTTTAATTATGTCATTAGAAAAAATATTATTGAGTACATCATCTTAATTACTAAATCATTGGATATTATTGCTCTTTAATCATTTTTTATTCATTAAAGACAAGAAAACAATAATTAGGTTGTATATAGTTTATTGACAGTTTATAATGGCAGTACTTTTGAAACTTCATTATGGAGTATTTATGTCACAATTACATAAATTTGTGTCATATATTATTTGTGTTTACATCTTCATTTAAATGCTTTTGTAACGAATTTGTTTTTCAACAGAAATTTTGTTAATATTTTTCATGAAATTTTTACAAAAGCATATATCAGAAGTTTTTAACTTTAGAGGATAATTTTTTAAAATTTTATAAAATTTCAAATTTACAATATGCCAATATGTATGACAGTCATTTTCTTATTGATTCAACGAGCAATGGGTCAGCATCTATTGCAATAGAACCTCAATCTGATATGTATCTTTATTATACAAACCATGTTTTCTTGATTTATACTGAAGGGAAATTTTTATGCTTGTAATGCTAATTTACTTCAGGTACTATTCCGTTAGAGCAACGTCAGTTAAAAAAATGTACCACTTTTTTTTTTGCCACCAATTGTCATCAAGTATAAAATTATGAAATAATAAAAGAGCCCAAAAGACTAAAAAAAATTAGTTCTGTAAAAAGTAATTTTTTTTTTTTACTTTCATAATTCTTAAAGAAAGTAAATTAAATTTTTTTTAATCTGGAATATTCTACACTGAAATAAAAAAATAACAAAACAAAATGAAATTCAATCTAAAGCAGGTGGCATAAAGAATATTGTGGGTACTTACGTATTATCGCAACCAGGTTGGCGCGATTTGTAAGTTTGAGTAAAAAAGTATGAATAGAAAGAAAATGTACATTTATTAATTACAGATAATTTTTAATACAGTTTTTTATATTATTTTGTTTTAAAATACAAAATAGCAATTAAACCCTTCCGATTTCGAATTTGAATAAGTTGCAGAATTATATTTTCGGCAGAAATCTTTTGGCTATTAGTTTTAGCACTGATTGAAAACCGTCTTCGCCATTAACAGCTTGAGCTTGGCACCATATAAATTGGATAAGGCATGAATCAAGATGATGACGGGCTGTTCCTCTCTGTTTTTTGTTGCGCCATTTGGCTGAGCCTCACATGCACTCTACATATTGTGTGTGAACGCCCGTGTTGGGATCCACAAAGTTATATTTGTGATTAACAGTTCCATGCAGAAATCCAGCATTTTCGAACTCATTGTATTTACGAAAAACTACGTATAACACGTAGGGTTGTCGTAAGTAGGGTCGCCAAATTTGGCGATTTATGCGAATTTTGGCCTGGTTGCATTAATACGTAAGTACCATATTCTGTACCTAAATGAAAGTTAACAAAACAAGCAATATGCAACCTAAACTGGTGGCATAAAATCACAACTATCATTCAATAGTGAAGAAAAAATTTCAGTTTTTGAATATAACCAACACCAAATAAATTCTATGAAATACAACTCTGGTGGTGATTACTGCGATTGTAACTGTGATTACATGTAATCACAGTTACAGTTTTGTAGACCTTGAAACTGGTTACCATACCTAAACTCTGAAGTGATTGTGGGGCAGTGCTAACTGGAGAAATAAACATCAGCGGAGCCTTGCTCACCACCAGAGTTGTATTTCATAGAATTTATGTGGTGTTGGTTATATTCAAAAACTGAAATTTTTTCTGCACTATTGAATGATAGTTGTGATTTGAGTATTGAAAACCGTAATTTATGAAATAAAGTGCAATTATGATCTAAAGAGTATCAAAATTTACAAAAAAAAAAAAAAAAAAAAAAAAAAAAAAAGCTTAATATTTATTTGTTTACTTTATTAAATATTTCTTTCAATGTAATTTGTTTTAAGTTGCTTCGTTTTTTGTGCTAATACTTTCTCTTTAATTCTGTAGACAGACATATTCTCTTGTTTAGTTACATTAACTGCTGTTTCGAATTCCAACTAACTTGTCAATCGATATTTTCTCGTTTTCAGTAACTTCTCTGTCACATTCTTCACTATCCGTAGTGGTATTTTCTGGATCTAGAACCATACTATGGATTTCGCCATTTGTGATATTAAAAACTTCTTTTATATCATCTTCATATATCACCGCTTGTCCAAATTTCTTTACAAAATCCGTTAACTGGAAAATTTCACCTTTGTTTTGCGATATCCAAAAACCTTTAAAATTAGCGGCTATCATCATGAAATTTAGCTATCCTTCATTATACATATTTGGCTATGCATCATGAGCTTGGCGACTAACGACAAGTTGTTCCGTTAAATTTTATCTCGCTTCTATCTCGCACTGAGACAATTGAGCCTGAATTATATTCATTTAGTTATTTATTATATTTATGTCTATTTCTTGCACATGCTTAAGGGTTATCAGAGTTCTGAATAAATAAATTCCCACATATACTTAAGCCTTATTGAGGCACGGTGCTAGATATCTCACTGCCTGATGCGGTCTCTGTGAGTCATAAATTCTACGACTCGGCGCGGCTATACAAGCCCTGTTGCTGGTTGTGGGTTTATGTGAATAAAAAAATCAGTTATTCTTAATTCAAATAGCCTTAAATGTAATCTTTGGGTTTATGAGTATCATCAACAAAATCTATTTTTAGCATATATAAAGAAATGTTTGGTAAATTTTCCCTCGTCAACATTTTTAGTGCATTTAACTTGAATCTGTAATCATCGCCAAACATAATGTTAACATAAAAGGTTACCATACACCTTTATTATTCAATTACTAACATAAAAATTTTTTTTAGGCATCGCTACATGAGTCATTACTCAAGTTGTCATGTTTTGATAATGCGGTGATGAAAGGAAAGTATAAGAATAATGATTCGCCAGGTTGGCATCAGATCAACAATGTATCTATGTGGAATGTTTCGGTTTGAGATGTGGTGAAGCAGACACACAGCAACAGAGCCAAATTACTGATCATACAAATTTATGCTAAAATGATTTGTTTCTTCAATAACAAGGTATTTTATTTAATGTCTTATTTAGTTTCGAAGTGAAATTAAGAATCAGGACTCTCCAGATGTTTTATTATGCACGGAGGGGGTAATCAAATGCACATGCGTAAAGCTTACGAGAAAAACTTTCTTGGTGGTTTTCAGGTCCGGATTTTAGATCATTCCGGATATTGGATGTCCGTATTTCGGACGTTGTACTGTATTGTTTACCAAACTTAATACAAA